AAACCTCTACTGTTCTTTTGTGTATCCAACTCCCTGGATATTTATCCTATGCTCCCTTTTATTGTGTTTTTTTTTGTTTGTTTTTTTTTTTTTGAGACAGAGTCTCGCTTAGTTGCCCAGGCTAGAGTGAGTGCCATGGCGTCAGCCTAGCTCACAGCAACCTCAAACTCCTGGGCTCAAGCAATCCTCCTGCCTCAGCCTCCTGAGTAGCTGGGACTACAGACATGCACCACCATGCGCGGCTAATTTTTTTCTATATATATTAGTTGGCCAATTAATTTCTATTTATAGTAGAGACGGGGTCTCACTCTTGCTCAGGCTGGTTTCGAACTTCTGACCTCTAGTAATCCACCCGCCTCGGCCTCCCAGAGTGCTAGGATTACAGGCATGAGCCACCATGCCCAGCCCTCCCTTTTATTGTTATTTACCTTTTTGTGGTCATGCCTATCTCCTCGATTTGACTGTTCATGTCCTTATGCAGAGGGACCATCTCCTAGCATGTGCCTGATTCAAACAGGTGCATAGTTATTTGATGATGATGATCATTATGATACTGATAATGGTGAAAATGATGGAAATACCTACTATAACCTCTACAGGCAACTTCATTGGTGTTCACACCATGGTTACAACTCTGACAGATAATAATCAGTTAGTCACTGACCATTCATCTATTCACCTGCGTTCATTCATTTGATAAATATTTTCTGAGATCACTATATATGCCAGCCCCTATCTAGGCACCAGGGTTATGAAGACCAGTCTAAATTCAGAGATTTACCTCTTAATGGAAGAGGCACACTTAAAAACAATTAAGTACAATAACATATTTTAGATACTATAATAGAAACATTATTGGGATGGCAAAAAATTAGAGAAAGCTTTCTAACCTATTTACCTCAAGAGAGATGAGTTCAAGAAATGATTCAGAGAAGAGGTTGGATTTGAGCCAGGGTTTTCAGATGAATAAGTGAAAAAAAACTTCTAATGTCTTCTTTATTCTGCCTTTGGAAGCAAATATGCCCGAAGGCCTGACAAGACCACTAGTTTAAAATGCCTGGAGCTAAAATAGAACTGGAGATTCTGACCTTCAATGATTGGAGCAGGACATAATGGCAATATCCAATTTAAAGAAACAAATTACCTATATTATGTGGAGAAGTTATTGTGAAATGACCTGGAATTTTGTTAGAATCATCACGCCATGCTCTTTTAGAAGGGGGGGGGCTCATCTCTACTGCCGTTGGATTCTAAAGAGCCTTAAAAAAAAAAAAAAACAAAACAAAAAACAGATTCGCTCTACATTTAAGATTTTCAGAAACATTTGCCTCCTTGTACACTAGGAGGCAAAATCTCTCCATAACGAATATTTTATCCTACACATGTTTACTGAGCACCTACCCTGTGCCAGGTGCTGTTACAGGAACTGTAACTCTAACAATGAACAAAACAGATAAAAATAATTGCTCTCCTGAAGCTTACGTTCCAGTAGGGAAAAAATGACAATAAGCAAATAAATAAGTTATATAGTACATTAGAAAGTAAAAGTGCTATGGAGAAAATAAAAAGCAGGGAAAATAGGCATGGAGTATTGAGTAGGGTGGGGGGTATACAAGTTGCAATTTAGAATAGGATGATGAGGAAAGGCCTCACTCAAAAGGGGTTAATCAAGCCAAAATGTGAAAGAGATGAGAGCTCAAGCAATCTGGAAGAAGAGAATTCCAGGCTGAGTTAATAGCATGTACAAATGCCCTGAGGTGTGAGTATGCTTGGCCCAGTTAAGGAGCAACAATTAGTTGTACGTGGCTGGAATGGAGGAGAAAATATGAAGTTAGCAAGGTAACTAGGGGAAAGATTGTGTACAGCGTTTACATATTGGTAAGAATGCTATGTTTGTCTCTGAGTTAGATGGGGAATCACTGGAAATTTAAAGCTTGTTCTGTCTCACGTTTCCGTGGGATCACTCAGGGTGCTATACTGAGTATGAAGGAACAAGCACAGAACCAGAGAGAATAGTTAGGTGATGTTTTTCACTAACCCAGGTGAGAAATGATGTGGCTTGGTACAGAATGATAGCAGTGGTAGGTAGTGATGAGAAGAGGGCACAATCTGAATATAGTTTGCAGGTAAAGTCAACAGGATTTGCTGTTGGATTAGATATGTATAGGAGAGAAAGAAAAAAAGTAAAGAATGATTCCAAGGTTTTGACCCGATCTACTGCTTGCTGTTATATTAACTGTGATGGGGAAGACTGCGGAGAATTAAGTTCCGAGATAAGTTCAGGTTTTGGACATGCTATATTTGAGATATTTATTAGTCATTCAAATGGAAATTTTGAGTAGCAATTGGATATGTGAAACTAGAAGTTAGGGGAGAAATCCATGCTGCGGACATGAATTTTTGAGTCATTGACATGAAGATGGTATCTAAAGTCACGAGACTGGAAGAGATCACTGATGAAACAAGTTTAAATAGAGACGGGAGTCGGGAGTCCTGGGATGCCCCCCAATTTAGAGGTTGGGAATATGAGAAGGAACCAGAAGGGAGTCCGATAAAAGTTAGTCAGTGAGGTAGGAGGAAAACCAGGAATGTGTGGTGTGCCAGAGGCCAAGCAAAAGAAGGTACAAAGGGAGTGATCATCTGTTGGAGTACTGAGAATTAATTAGTCATTGTACTTAACAACATGGCAATCACTGGTGACTTGACAGGAACAGTTTTCAATCTGGAGTGAAGGTGAAGGAAGCCTGAATAGATTGGGCTTAAGAGAAAGCAAGAGCAGAGGAATTATAGAGAGTGAGTATAGGTAACTCTTTTAATCAGTTTTCTTTAAAGCAATCAGAGAAATGGAATCAAAGTTAGAAAGTATAGTGTTGATTCTTTTGTTTGTTTATTTTTAAAATAATCTTATTTTTAAGATTATATATTATTTTTATAATATAAAGTTTTTCTATCCCTATAATCTGTGTAATTTCATTTTCATTATTGGAAGAGTAAAGCTGTATGTGCAGAATAGAGAAAAACTAAAACGTGGGTAACTATATCATTGTGTTCGTCTGTAAGAGATTAAGTGTTGTAAGAAATTGAATTCTTTCAGAAGAATTTTTTCCTTAATTCTACCATGATAGCAATCACAGTAACCTGATTTGAAATAAACCTAATTATAAAATCTTGAGTGTGAAAATTGACAAGCCAAATCAAGATTCAATAGTGATATTTCTGATTGATTTTACTCTTAGTAAACTTTGTTGGCTTAATAATAGTACTGGACTATTTGGTGGCCAAGCTATGAAATTTTGATCATTTAAGACTTCACATTTAATTTAAAGATTGTGCTTGGAAGAATCACAAAGAATAGGACTGAAAGTAACTTTGAAGAGAATTTAATTTAATGTGCACATTTTTTCAATTGATAACTTAAACTCCAAAAATTAAAATAACATATTGGGAGTCACAAAGTCAGCTAAACAGGGCCAAAACTAGCACCTAGTTCTTACGGTCCCCAATGAGGACCCATTTTAATATGTCTCAGGTTCATTCCAACCCCCGAGGATACCTGGCCAACGGCTCAGTGCAGCGGCACATGTATCAGTATAAACAGCAATTTTCCATTTGGAACAAACATTGTGAGAAAAATGCTGCACATTTACATGGGTAATGCTACTGTCAACACTGCCTATTGCTTTCCCCTTCAGTCTGCAGCTGAAATAAGAAACTGGTGGCCAATAGCTCTCAGTTTCATTCTCTGTGTACTTGTAGATCACCTTCTATGAGCCAAGCATCATGGAGGTATCTGAGAGGAACATGGTGAATTCTGTGCTTCCTCAGGGCTTACATCACTTGTGGAGAAAGAAAGGAGGAAGGGGACTGACAATTATGGGACCAGGGACCTTCACGTGAAATTCCTTCTTAAATCTCACCACAGCAATGAGGGGTAGGGATAGTCATTCTCTTTTTACAGTTGAGGAAACTGGGATTAAATAAGGTTAAGGAAGTTGCTCAAAGTCTGAGCTGTACAGTGCAAACCTTACTGAATATTGGGGTCATCTTCTTTCCATGCATACCCAGTGGGGAACTCAAGCCTGATACTCTGTTTTTAAGGTCAGGGAAGGGGATTCTGTCATCTGGGAGAGGAAAAGGGATTGGGGAGACAGTTACTGAGTTGGATTGTTCCTACCCAAGAAACTGACCCAATTTTCATGACTAAATGCCCACAACACTGTATGGGCAGTTTTATTTATGATATTGGTGATGAATTTTATACTGAGCAGCCTAGAATGTGCTGAACTTGTTCTCTCTTTGGAAAAGTTAGGTTTTAATAACATGAGGAACGATGGATTGACATAAACAAATTTCAAATGTAGTAGTGGAAAACATACAGGATTCAGAGTCAGGATGCCTATAGTTTGGTCCTAATTCTTTCATTTATAGCTCTGGAAATAGTGGCAAGTCACTTACGCAGGACTTCCTGAGTCCCAGTTTCCTCATCTCTAGAATGGGCATAATGATAAATTCTACCGTATATAGTGCTTGAGAGGAACAAATGAAATAATTTATATAAAAATGCTTTAAAAAATCTTGAGTGCTATTCAAACCTTAGTTAACCATCATTCTTACTGTATTCTTAAATTTCTTGATGCATTATAAGGTAAATTTGAATGTAACAGGGTTATCCAGGAGTTTTTAGGTACTTGCCTTGGTTTTGAGAGTGTAGGTTTGGCTGGGGGTGATCTAGAATTATAAAGTCCTGTTATAGCTCTTGGGCCTCTTCAAAGAATCCCTGATTCTCAGGAGTTCTAGAGCCCTTGGAGTAAACTATGAATCATGAGGTGCTCTAGACTAAGTTCTGGGTACTACCCAGTAGTAGACTTAGCAATGAGTATTGGATCATACAGGCTTTTGAAAATGTGATAGTAATTTGGGAGTACTGTGTATTGGTCATAAAGACCACATGGAAAATAGAAAACATGGGCCATTCCCAATGAAAATATACTTAGGCCTACCTTCAATGTGTTGAATGTGGAACATAGGGTCTCTTGTACTTGATCATATACTGCTGGCTTCTTAAAAACTTGGAATTTCCAATGTGCCAGCTAAGCAACAGATGTTCCTTAGAAGAATATGATGAAAGTGGTCAGCACAAATGTCCTCAACATACTGAGATCTTGCATGGAGTTCTAAATCATTTACTTATTTTTCACAAATATTTTATTTAAAACCTACACTATAGAAGGTTAAAAGTAAATTATTGTACTAGGGATGGGAGAAGATTTAATTAGAATTCTGGCTTATTTTTTCTTTAAGTTAAATTATTAGTTGACTTTATTGTTTCCCATCTCATTATTACATTCATGATTGCAATGGATTAAAAGGTAAATTGTTCCAATTTAATGGGTTGAAGTTACTGCAGAGGGATTTTATAGTCAGAGTTCTCCTATAATTGAAATAGATTGGCACTAAATATACACTGTTAACAATTTAAGTAAAATGGCTTTTATTATTATCTGAGAGCAATTTTCATGGAATAAAGTTGAGCTTGCACCTTTCTGACTTCGTAAGCAAAGAATTTGATTAAAACCGATCAGCTAATGAGACTTCCCTTTAGAGCAATAGAACATTGTAATGTCAAACCCATTTGCTGGGGACTACATACCCTCAAGGAATAGCTGACTGGAGTCAACTCTGTGGTTTTGGCTGAGGACAGGTCTCTCTCTGTGTGGAAAGCAAAACACGGAAGCAGAAATAATCTTCATGAGCTAAAGTTGGCCAAATGAGACTGTGGTTGCCTTGATCAGGAATTGCTTGATCACAAGTTACAGAAACCCACTTAAAGTTACTTCAATATAATGAGGTCCTAATTGCTATAGGATACTTCTCAATAGCAGGGAAGACAACCAGGGGCAGGATCCAGGAACTGGACAGCAGACGGGCACTGAGCTCAGGCAGTCTGTTTGCTTGTCAACTTGTCTCCACATTGATCCTCAGATTTCCAGGGTTTCTTATGTTTTCTCTGCCCATTTTCACTTTTCTCCCCCTGAAGGCCAGCTTTCTCTGGCCATTTCCATATGGGCACACCACAGACTAGAGGCGATAAAGCCAGCCCCTGGGATCTTTTACGCTGTGTTTCTGGGATTTTGAGGCCCCTTTAAATTCCTTTGGACCTGGTGGTGTAATTCTGGCCTTTGGAATTTGCAGAATTCTGAGTAAGTTCCAGAACTCCAGGAGCAGAGAAGGTCCTGGGTTCTCAGGTATTGGCATGGCTTGGTTGGGAAAAATCTTGGGAAAATTGGGAGGTCAGCAGGTATTCTTGGCTTCCTCCTTTGTCTCCACCTGGATGCCATTTTCCCATTTGGGGGCACCTGCTGACCTCAGTTTACCCAGAGCTTCCTCCTCTGATCTCCCCCCATCTTCTCCCCTCACCACCACTGGACCTTTCTCCAGACTTTCAAATATCTCCATTGCTATTGGCACCTTCTTGTCTATGATCCCCTTGCATTTATTCAGCTATATTCTAAATGGCACAATCTGTTGAACATGGAGTACTTTCAGAGTCAACAAAGAGTACCTATGTTCCAAAGGCCTTTTTTAAAAAAATAGTATTTATTTATTTTATTTCAGCATATTACGGGGGTATAAATGTTTAGGTTACATATGTTGTCCTTGCCCCACCTGAGTCAGAGCTTCAAACAAGTCCATCTTCCAGACGGTGCACACCGCATCCATTAGGTGTGAATATACCCGTTCCCTCCTCCCCCCTCCCATCTGCCTGACACCTGATGAATGTTACTACTATATGTGCACATATGTGTTGATCAGTTAATACCAATTTGATGGTGAGTACAGGTGCTTGTTTTTCCATTCTTGTGATACTTCACTTAGTAGAATGGACTTCAGCTCTATTCAGGGTAATACAAGAGGTGCCAGATCACCATTGTTTTTTGTGGCTGAGTACAACTCCATGGTATACATATACCATATTTTATTAATCCTCTCATGTATTAATGGGCATTTGGGCTATTTCCACATCTTTGCAATTGTGAATTGTGCTGCTATAAACATTCTAGTGCAGATGTCTTTTTTACAGAATGTCTTTTTTTCCTTTGGGTAGATGCTTGGTAATAGGATTGCTAGATCAAATGGTAGTTCTACTTTTAGCTCTTTGAGGTATCTCCATATTGCTTTCCATAGATCTTGTACTAGTTTGCAGTCCTACGGGCAGTGTATGAGTGTTCCTATCTCTCCGCATCCACCCCAAAATTTATTGTTTTGGGCCTTTTGATAAAAGCCATTCTCATTGGAGTTAAGTGATATCTCATTGTGGTTTTGATTTGCATTTCCCTAATGATTAGAGATGTTTAGCATTTTTTCATGTGTTTCTCGGCCATAGGTCTGTCCTCTTTTGAAAAGTTTCTGTTCATGTCCTTTGCCCTTTTTTTAATGGAGTTGTTGGATTTTTTAAAAAGGCCTTTAAGCAGTAATTCAAATGATGAGAATGCAAGATACTAGTTAGGAGGCATTTGGGGTCAGAAGGTTCTTTCTGAGATAGCCTGGGATAACATAAAGGATAAATCAGAGAGATTTGGATTTTAAGCTTAGCATCATTACTTTTGGTTGTGAGAACTTACAAACTTGCTTGACATCTCTGCTCCTGCATTTCCAATTGTCTCAGCTCTACTTACCCCTTTATGGGGTAAGTAGTATGCTGTGAGGAATAGATGAGGTAAGGTATGCAAATATGTAAAGTACCCAAATATTGTATAATCTCAATAAATGAGTGCCCAATCCACTCTCCCCTATTTCCTTCACTCAACTTTCACTACAAGGACAGTCACCTTAGAGTGAGACACACACCATGTTGACACCTTTAGAAATTCTATTGGCTCCTTTCTCTGGGACAAGTATTTTCTACTCCCTTATGCACAGATTGGAGTATTAGAGACAGAATAACACATTTTTTCAATAAAAAACGTAGTTGATTACAACTTCCAAGATGGCAAAGGTATTCCAAGACAAAGAGGTTCTTTGTTTTTTATTTTTAAAATTTTAATAATATATTTTATTTAACCCATATATCTAAAGTAATACTATTTCTTTTTTTTTATTTTAGTGTATTATGGGGGTACAAGTGTTAAAGTTACTTATATTGTCCATGCCCCCCTCCCCCCTCGAGTACGAGCTTCAAGCATGTCCATCCCCCAAACTTTGCACATTTTACTCATTGTGGTTGTATATATAGGAGTATAAATGTTACTCCTATATGTCCATTTAGGTTGATCCGTTAATACCAATTTGCTGGTGAGTACATGTGGTGCCTGTTTTTCCATTCTTGAGATACTTCACTTAGTAGAATGGGTTCCAGCTGTATCCAGGAATATACAAGAAGTGTTATATCACCATTGTTTCTTAAAGCTGAATAGTACTCCATGGTATACATATACCACATTTTATTAATCCACTCATGAACTGATGGGCACTTGGGTTGTTTCCACAGCTTTGCAATTGTGAATTGTGCTGCTATAAACATTTGAGTGCAGGTGTCTTTTTCATAAAGTGACTTTTGATCTTTTGGGTAGATGCCCAGTAGTGGAATTGCTGGATCAAATGGTAGATCTACTTGTATCGCTTTGAGGTATCTCCATATTGCTTTCCACAGAGGTTGAACTAGTTTGCAGTCCCACCAGCAGTGTAGGAGTGTTCCTTTTTCTCCACATTCATGCCAGCATTTGTTATTTGGAGACTTTTTGGACTATTTGGAGCCATTCTCACTGGAGTTAAGTGATATCTCACTGTGGTTTTGATTTGCATTTCCCTGATGATTAGAGATATTGAACATTTTTTCATATGTTTGTTGGCCATTATTCTGTCTTCTTTTGAGAAGTTTCTATTCATGTCCTTTGCCCATTTTTTGATAGGGTTGTTTGATTTTTTCTTGCTGATTTTCCTGAGTTCTAAATAGATTCTAGTTATCAGCCCTTTATCAGATATGTAGCTTGCAAAAATTTTCCCCCATTCTGTGGGTTGTCTGTTTGCTCTCTTGACAGTTTCTTTGGCTGTGCAGAAGCAAAGAGACTCTTTGGACCTAAAAGGTGTCTGCCCACATCATGGACCAAAGAAAAATGGGTCCATACGTTTCTAATGGCACCACACTGGAAGCCTGTTCTATTTTATAGCTATATTAGCTTATATTAGTCACTCTCCCAAATTTGGTCATAATCATCAAGAAAATGGTCATAATCATAACTTCTGCATTTTCACCACTTGTTCTGTATTTACTATGTCAAATGTTTCGTTAGGTCGCACATGCATTAACCACTGGCAGTATGTCGTGCTGTGCTATGCTGCTTGCTGTACCGCTTGCATTGTCCCTGTCTCCTATCACAACTCTCACAAAGCTACCTAGAGGTTCGAGCTCCTCATAAACCCTAGCCCCGCTGAGTTCCGTGGAGAAACTACCGCCCCACAGCTGAGATCCAAGCCTCACCCATCTCTTTGAGTCTAAGACCTTGCTGTTCAAAGTGTGATGCTTGGACCAATAGCATCACCTGGGAGCTTGTTAGATGTAGAATCTCACCCCAGAGCTAGTAAACAAGAACTAGCAGTTTAAAAACTTTCCTCATTGGTTTCTATGTGCATTAACATTTGAGAGACACTGATCTGGGGTATGAACTACAGGAGATGCAGATTATTTTAATTGCTTGGGTGTTTTTCAGTGTGTGAATCTCCTTTCCACATCAGCCACAATGTTTGATCCCTGTGAATAACCTCTACCATGGAGCTTTTCGCTTTTCTATCCTTTACTTGCCCAGTTTTATTCAATAGCAGTTTTTTCTCTGACTTAGAGTCAGAGAATTTGGTAATTAGGAAATAATTTAGCTTTGGGGACATCTCCTGTCTTACCCCACGTAGAAGAAATTGTTTGGGTCCTCCCTGTGGAGGTCAGGTCCCCTAACTGACAAAACAAAGCCTTTGCAGCTCAACGCATAAGGCATGTTTTTCTCTATTTGCTGGACTTGAGCCCTCTCTCTTCTTTCTTCCTTTCCATGTTGGATTTGAACACAGCACAAGCGGTTGGGTGACAACTGTCTGTCTCTGCATTGAGACACACTGAAGATGTCAGTTGCTCTGTACCCCTAGAAGCCCCTTTCAACTTGTTGCTTAAAAAAAAACATTTCTTTTTTATATTTAAAAGAAAAGAAGCCCAGAGGAGAGGAGCTTGTGCCTTTAAGGTAAAGACAGAGGTGCACTAGGCATTTAGCTTTGGCAAAACAGGGATGTCCAGTAGTTTGGTGTTATGATGCTTTTAAGTTGCATTGAGGTTGGTGAAAATGGGAGGTCAAGCAGTCCCTGGAGCTGGTCAATGAATTGTAATGGATCACTCTCTGATTTAGAGAGGCTGCCAATGAGGTCAGCAGAACAGGGCGGCTTCACAGACCCCACTCCATCCCTATTCTTTCCATCACAGCCCTGACTAGGAGGCCAAGGGAAGGATGGCTGGCCCAAGATGGCCTGGAGGAGTAAAGGAGGGCTACAGAGACCCATGCTCCCATGGCTAGGAAAGAGGGATACTACATAGTTTGACTAGTGCCTCCCAGTGCTCCCAAGACCCTGGAATAGTGAAAGGATGGTGCTTTGGGAAGAGATGCCCTCCAGGAAAGACAAAAAAGATGTAAGATTGCAAAGGGATATAGTTATCTTGTATGGTAAGAATCATTTTTCTTTCTTGGTTATAAAACTAATACATGCTCATTAGAGAGAATTTGGAAAACACAGAACAGTCCATAGAGGAAAATAAAAATTGCCCATAATCCCATTAGCCAGAATAATAATTGTATATTGGGTCATATTTTCTTTCAAACATACACATTTTTTCCACTCATGATCATTAGTAAATATTGTTAAAGCATGATTTTAATAACTGCTTCATATAAATGTGACCAATTTCGCTTATGTAAGATTATGAAGTTGATCATTTTGGCTATTTCTAATATCTAGCTATTAAAAGTAACTCTGTTGTGAATATTCTTCAACATAAATCTTTGACTATCTGTGATTATCTCCTTAGGACAAACTCCTAGAAGTGAGATTACAGAGTGAAAGCTGTGATTATTTTTAATGTTTCTAATATATATATATATATATAATTGCTCT